AAGCGCATTTCGCACAACCCTCTCTCTCCTCGACCCGAAACATGATACCAAAGACGCCGTACCAAAAGCAAGGTAACTTGAGCCGTGAGCGCCGGGCAGAGATATCTGCCGCGAAGTTTGCTACGCGTGCGGCGCTGGGAGTGGGATTTGATTTCACTGATGAGGGATTTGATAGGATGCGGGCACTTGATAACCCACAGCGGTCTTGGATTAGGCCGGACGAAGATGAGGATTCAGATGAAGAGCCCATTCCCGCGAGATATATCGCCGAGTTCAACGAGGAGATGCGGAAGTTCGAAAGGATGTATGATGAAGATCAGCATCCTTCTGATATCCACGCATCGCGACATAAGCATCCAGGCACGTATACTAATACCAAGCCCCTGCCGCCTTATAAGCCTTCGCTACCGCCTCTTGAGCGACGTGACAGCGGTTTCGAGGAAAAGACTCGATGTGAGCCGACACCACAACTTCAAAGTAAGTTCAGCTGGGACAATCTCAACGATACCGATGACAAGTCACCGAAGCGACTTAGTTTCTGGTTCCGCCATCGCAGGAGCAGGAGCTTAGAAGCTACCAAAGTCCCTGAAAAGAAGAAGAAACGTAGAACATGGTAGGTCAGCAATAAAAACGTAAAAGTAAACACGGTGAAAATGCAGTGTGATGTGTGTAGTCACGAATATGTACATTGAATTGTTGGTGACTGCCATGAGGCTTGACTGTAGAGTATGCTAGCTCTTCATCTTCGATGCGTCTAAGCAAAGCCGAAGAACTTCATATCGTCCGCACCCCGAATGGGGACGGTGTGACCGACACCAGCAGCGTAGATACCCTCGACATTAGGACCGTAGACGGTCCTGGTGTATCCGCTCTGGGGGTCGTTGGCCTTGGTGCTCTGGGGCTTGTCGTAGTTGTAGCCGAAAACGCCAGCCTAACCAATATCGTTAGCACGTGATTATTCGAGGACTCAGATTGTGAGACTTACCCATTCCTTCATGGTCTCCTGGTAGTTCTGGGGGCGCAGAGTGGTGTCGGCGCTGCCGTGGTAGACCTGCATCTTGGGGCGGGCACCGGTGTAACTGGGGTACATGTTCTTGACTACGGCGGCCCAGGCTTGAGGAGTGGCGATGGAGTTACCCTGGGCGCAGGTGCTGTTCCAGGCGTCGACTCCGTTGGCGGCGGAGGCGAAGCAACCGGCGGCGACACCGGAGTAGGGGATGGCGGCCTTGAAGATGTCGGGGTAGGTAGCGGCCATGACGTTCTGAAGGGCGTTAGCAAATATAACATGATCAGGACTCCATCAGACGTACGGTCATCATGGCGCCACTGCTCGAACCGGTAACGAAGACCTTGGACGAGTCGGCCTTGTACTCCTTGACTGTCCACTTGACCATGTTGGCAATGGTGTTGCTGTCTCCTCCTCCTTCGTGGCTCAGAGTGGCCTTGCTGCTGACATCCCAGCACTTGCCCTCGTGAGGGGACTCTGGGTAGATGACAATGAAGCCATACTGCTCAGACAACTTGGCGTAAGGGCTGCCGGTGTAGTATGCCTGCGCGGTACCAGTGCAGTAGTGAATAGCGACAATAACTCCTGGCGACGCCGCAAGCTTCTTGGGCACGTAGATGTAGAAGCCAGCCTTGGTGGGTGCAGCACCAAAAGAGGTGACCTGGGAGAGAGCGCCAGGTGTCACGGCACGCTTGGCGATGTCAGTGGTTGCAGCCGCAGCTACGGACAGGAAGCTGGTGACAGCAGTGAGGAAGCGCATGGTGTTGACTTGGAATGAATGAACGCGGTGGAGAATCCAAGAGTCTTGGGATACAGACCTTCTTATAAAGCTTGTCTTCAGCCGGAGCGTGCGTGCGGTTCAAGGGATGCGGTATGCATTGAAACGATCTCCCCGAAACTCTCCAGCAATCAGCAGTAGCGGAAATGAGGTCACGCAGTTCTCGACTAAAGTGTTTCTCCCCACATCTTCGGCGCCACAACGTAGATGAAGGGCTGACAGTTGTCATTCGCCCTCTAGTGGGACTTGGAACGAACTAGTGAGCGGTAAATTAAAAGCTTGTTTCCATTAATCCTAGCTCGGCATTGGTTCCAGGCGCGACGTTTCGAACATATACCGACCCTTGACCTTTACCATGTGTTTACCCGGTCCGGGGAAATTCACAACAGTAACCCCACAGGACAGGTAAGCAGGCGCGCTATATGTATAGAGGTCGCATGCGACATGGAAGAATTGTTTGCGAGTCCGCCGAGCCTGTGCGGACAGGATGAGGGGGTTTGAGTAGTGCCGAGGAGTCTGACACGATACTGACTGTGGGTGCCATGCTGATGCGCCGGGTCCAGATCTAGACGTTGAGGAGGCCGGTGCGCCTGGTGAGCTCTGGTTTCGCCGCTGGGTCGTTGCTCTTGAACAATCGAGGCTGTGTAAGCGGTTGGGCTGTTCGGCGCGCCCAACGCTTCGAGCGCGACGCTCCTGGCTTCACAGATCTTGACCTTGAACTCTCTTCTTCATCTTCCAGCCCACATGCCATCTCCTCTTCCTAGACCGCCGAAGGTCAGTCCGCCCATAACGCCGCCACCGCCGCCAATGTTCTTGCCTTCATTGACAGGTCTCTTGGCGACTCTTCCTTGTGCCTTGACGCCTTGAATGACTTTGTCTAACTGCGTCTCTACCACGACTCCGCCCACTATCATCTCACCCAGCGTCGCGTGTAATGTCTCGAAGTTGAAGATCAGATCCAGCTCGCATACGTTTTCGAAAAGACCATCGAGGGCTTGGACGAAGACCTGGATGAGATCAAGAAGCGCGAGAGGCGATTCGGTGGATGTAGATATGACAATGAAGTAGAGAGTCGCGTAGTGGCGGTAGGTGACGAGGGAAGGTGTGTCGTTGTGGGGAGTCGTGGGTGTGCTGGATTTGGAGCTGCTGGCGAGGAGCGGCGGGAGTCTAGGTACATGTTAGCGAGAATACTGTGTAAGGCGATGGAATAACGTACGGTAAGAAGTTACATGCTGAGTTTGGACGGTTGGCGACGAGGGTGAAGATTTCGGAGATGAGGCGCTGCTGGACGCTGGTTTCCTGGGTGGTGGTGAGTACGGGAGCCCTGGAGCGCAATGTCAGGTCACGTGTAATGTACCAGCTGTGTGTAGAACTTGGTCAGTCGCGGCTGGCCGGCATTATTGAAGACGAGGACTGCGTTGATCATGATGTGGATAGGTGGTGGTGAGGCGCACACTGGCGTTGGACATGTCCCACCGAAGGATGCGGGGAGGCGCGCGAGGGTCCATGCTCCTCCAGCTTGCGTCCAGCCCAGGAACAGAACACTCTCTCCCGCTACTCCGCAACTTCCACCACCGACAATCCTCTCAGTTACCCCGACCCATCCAATTCAGTCACAATGAAGCCAGCTACTCGATTCGTCAGCACCGCCGTTCGTCGCGCCGCCCGATCTTCCCTCCGCGTCCAGTCGCCCGCCAATTGCATCATCGCCAGCCGAGCTCCTGCCATCAGCCATGCTACCCCCGTTCGCAGCTTCCACGTATCAATGGGCATGAGGGTGGGTATTATGCCTGGTGAGGAGGACCCGAAGCCCAAGGAGAGTGAAGCCCACGACGAACCTGGCAAACCCACGGAGCTCTCAATAGAAGAATTCCACGAGCGCGCAGACTACTACCTGGGCGAGCTGGTACAGAGGTTAGAGGAGGCTCAGGAGAATGACCCTGCCATCGAAGTAGACTACTCCGTAAGTCACGATCACGCAACAAATCAGATTGGATACTAATTCGGTTGCAGGCTGGCGTGCTCGAAGTCACTTTCCAAGAGAACACTTTCGTACTGAACAAACAACCCCCGAACAAGCAGATCTGGCTCAGTTCCCCAATCTCCGGGCCGAAGCGATTCGACTGGGTCGTCGCACAAGAAGGCATGGACTTCAAGGAGGGTGGTGGCATCGGCGACTGGGTGTACATGAGGGACGGCAGCTCGCTCACTGAGATTCTCAGGAAAGAGCTGGGCGTTGACGTCAGTGTGGATGACCAGGTCCCGCGTTAATGGAGCGTGCTATAGTCAGTAGCACATGCTCTAGTACGTCGTCCCGTCGCAGAGCACGTTTGGGCAGATAGTCTCTTCCGGCCAGGAGAGTATACACGATGATACGGTAGCAAATAGCGAAAAGCGACAACAATTTATGATTGCGCATTCTCAGCTCCGCTTCTCCAGGCATCCCATGTGGTATCTCCCTGGTCTTTGCCAGACTGCGACCACATTATGTAACCAACTTCCCCCAAACGCCGATATATGCATTCCAACGCCGTAGGTATTGCGAGGCGTAAACTGTGACCCCATAAGGTAGTATGAAAGTAGTGGTCCAGGAATCTAGGCGGTAATGGCAACGCTCTTGGGTGCATCGTCGTTCTCTGGTGGGAGATCGGACTGCAACATGTCAGTGCTCAAGTCGCGCCATATATTGAGTAGAAGGCATACCGGGTCGAAGATGATTCGTATCATCAGGCTACAACTGGGACAGCGCGCAATGTCCTCTCCGTCGCGCATATCGTAGATGGAGATCTCAAAACGGTCGCCGCATGGGCACGGGTGGTGGTAGATCTGCAGCGTCTCGTCATAGAAGCAGTCTTCGATTTCGATCTCGTCGTAGAGGTTCAGCTCTTCGTCGGCCATGTTGGGTAGGTGTGCGTGGAAAGAGCGATTGAGTTTGTCGCCGACTGCGAGGAAGTGGCGGGGAACTTTTGGCCGGCACGCTAGCCCTGGACCTGCATCCGCCCGTCCATTCACATCACCAGAAGCTCCGAACACGTACCGTAACATCGAGGCCGCCCGCCTACCCCGTCCGCAACTTCCATCTGCACCCTACCATGGGCGCGCACCTGATACACGAAAAAAACTGAACAGGTTTGCAGACTACATCAAGACAGAGACCTTCAAAGTGGGCGACCTAACGTCAACGTAGGCTCTAGGGTGTTCAGCACGTCTAGAACCATGGGCGACGTCGAGTCCGCCACGGTGAAGCTCGCGGAGCTGCTGCGACACCCAGAGGACCTCGACAAGATACCTGCGCTGAAAGCCGAATTTATGCGCAAGAAGGCGGCTGTAGACGGACAACTACGCCATGGGTTGAAAGAGCAGCTTGAGCTGACCCAGTCGGGTATGAGCAGCATCACCGAGGGCCAGCGCACCGTCAACCTGATCAAGGAGGGCAAGTAGCCGCCACGAATAGCTCTCAAGATATCTTGCTAACTTATTACTAGTATGTAGCTCCCTTGCTATGCTTTGCCGAGTGCTAACAGCTTCATAGGAGATGATGAAGATAGACAAGCTATGCGCCGAGGCCCAGAATATGATTCAGGACTTCCCGCACATCAACCTGGTTGCGCAAACACATAAGAACTTCGAATCGGTGGAGAAGATGCGCAATGACATCGAGGCCTTTGAGGAGCGCCTGGAGAACCTCGAGATCCTGCTGGCACAGGACGACGAAGACCCCGCGAACCAACCGAACCTGCTACAAGTACACTACGGTCTGACGCAACTACGAGACATCCGCGACGAAGCCATGGGTCAGATCAAGAACAGCGACACTTCCACCGAACTCATCGACAACCTCACACTAGAGAGTGGTATCACGGTGCAGGACCTCTTCGCGCGCTTGGACGATGTCGTAGAGTGGTTCGACAGGCATATTGGCGAGGCGTGCATAAACCTCATACAGTTGGTGCAGACCGACAACGTTGGCATGGTGGTCCGCTTGGCCGTTGTGATTGAGGAAGAAGAGAAGACGGACAAGAAGATCAAAGCGCTGCAAGATGCGCAGAGAGAGTTCGGAGATCTCGCCTCTCGCTTCAAGTCCATCACACAAGGGCCCAAGGAGCTTCGCGGCTACAAGGAGAAGTTCATTACTTCCATCGAATATGTTTGCAAGGCAGAGATGGACGGAGTGAGAGAACAGTTCCAGGAAGACCCCGAGAAGGTCGAAAAGTACTTCAAGTGGTATTTCAACAACCTGAACACAGTCAAGCTGGGTATGGTCGAGCTCATGCCGAAGAAGTGGAAGATCTTTGACACATACACCAACATCTACCACAAGCAGATGCACGACTTCCTCATGGAGTTTGCCGATGACGAAGCTCTTGGGCCGCAATACTTGCTGGCTGTCATCAACTGGGTGGACAAGTACTACGTCAAGATGCAGAAGCTTGGGTACTCAGAAGAGCAACTACAGCCACATGTCATCGACAACCGCAGTCCCGAGCTGATACGTACCTACCGCTCCGTTATCATCCAGGCTGTGGATCAATACATGGAACGCATCAATACACAGGACAGGCAGAGATTCGTGCAGCAAGACAAAACTGCATATGAGACCAACTTTGACGGTATCCTCCAAACGAAGGCTCTTGGAGACGTCTGGACGCTTTTCAGCCAGAATATTGGTGTCGCTGCCAGTAGTCAGCGTCCCGACGTTGCTGACGGTGTGGTCGACTCCATGTTCCGTGCCCTATTGTCTCGCCAGCGTATATGGACGCAACTGATCGACGAAGAAAAGGCCAAATACCTCGGACCTACTCCCGCGCAAGATGAAGATGATATATATGTCTTGCAGGAGTGGCTCATCGCTCTTGCAAACGACCAGATCATCTGCATTGACGATGACATTGACGGCAGTGGTCAAGCCTCCTTCCTAAGCGTCTTTGAGCGTGAAGTCACGCCTATCGTCTCCCAGGATTACATGATCGACAAGCTGGCCAAGAATGTGGACGAGGCCAAGAACGGCTATATTGACATTTCATCGCACTGCATACAAGTCTTTAGCGAGCTCATCTTCATGGTCGATCTTAAACCTGTGCTTTCCAAATTCTTCACCGTCGAGTGGTACTCGAGGCAGGATATGGCATCGATCATCACAACGTTTAAAGACTACGTGGATGAGTTTCTCCCTAGGATCCACCGCTCGCTACAGGATCTTATCATCGATTCTCTCGCTGACGAGCTGCTGGTTCAATATCTCGGGGCTGTGCGCAACAAGGGTGCCAAGTTCAAGAGGACGGATCAGTTTGCAGACAAGATGAAAGACGACCTTTACACGGCGTTCGACTGGTTTATGTCGTTTGGTGAGCAAGGTCGCGATATCAAGGACCGATGGCGCGCTGTGCAACAGTTCCTTAAGCTGCTGGAATGCGACAAGTCGCAGGTGCAGTTTGCGTATGTGGAGTTCAAGAATGCTTATCGGGATGTTAGTATTACATGGGTGGAAGCTGTTTTGAGAACAAGGGATGACTTTGACCGGGGCATGTTGAACGCGGTTAAAGCAAAGGCCGCAGAACCTATAGCAGAGGATGCGCCTCCTGATCCAATCATGGGCAGGGTGAAGTAAGGCTCGATTTGGCATATATCAATTTCGGAGAAGAAGGCACCTCATACAACAGAAGAAGCTGAACAGGTCTAGAGCCTACATCAACGCTGAGTCACCTATCTTGTAGGTTTTCATGTTAATGTAGGCTGCTGGCCTGTTTGGTTTTTTTCTTGGTTGGCCTGAAGGCATGTCTGGCGTTGGAGGTGTTTACATATGGGGTCAGTGTTGCAGCCGCCGGCAACGCGGCATCACTAACGACTCTAGAGCAACACGAGATACCCCGGATTTCTGCTCGTCACTAGATTAGCGAATACGAACTTCCTCACATCATGTTCACTGAGCGAAAAGTGTACAATCGCATCGTATTGCTGACTTGCTTGCGGTATGACGTCTGCAGACCCCTATCCGCAGTTTGCGCGCTCTCATCAAACACAAAAGCAGCGATGGGCGAGGATGAGCAGCAAGATCGACAGGTACATTTCCTCGTCGTCGGGAGCATTCATGATCGAGGTGATAGCCTAGCCTCATCACGGCTAGCGTCAGGGGTCCGCCCACCGGCGTCTCAGAACGGTGGAAGGCGCCGCGTGCTAATATTGAGCCGTTCCTATCAAAATGACCTTAATATGCAGGCCGCATTTTTGGTTGGAAGTTGTGATTAGGGATGTTTCGAAACAACTCATCCTCGAGATGTCGCGTGCTGCAATGGAAATAGAACTCAACGCCTTTGTAACAGTAAAAGCAGTCTGAACAATCGTAACGAGGCGCGCGAAACACAAAAAGCGCAGCATGACGCGCAACACTCCCCCACATTCATCGCGGCAATGGCAAGGCTTTTGCAAACCTCATGCCGCGCACCTACCAACCGTCGATCAACAAACACAATTTCCGCTATCGCCCACCCCAACCTGTGAGCAATCCAGCATGCTCGCCACACCTGACATGCAAGGATGACCCAACCAATCTAGACCACCGCCCGCGAGGAAATGAACCAACTCAGTCGATCGATGGGCAAGGCTGGCGCGTCCTCCACCCACCCCATCACCTGTCATATGACTACTAATAAGAGGGCTGTATAAGACCCATTGGACCGCCTCATATCCCTCCTACTACTCTTCTTCTCTCATCATCCTACGATCCAAACATAATCTATAGTACCTAGTGTTCTATTAGCCACTCATTTTTTTCTTGCAAGCCAAGTCAAACTCACACAGTCTTTACTACCACCAATCACTCAACGACTCGACTTTACGTCTCCTAACGCCTTATACCCAATTTACCTTCTCCCAACTTCTATCAACATTCAAGATGCGTTTCACCATCATCGCCGCTTCGCTCGTCGCAGCTGTTGCTGCTCAGTACGGTGCTCCCGCTGCTGAGGAGTCCTGCTCTGCTGCCGTCACTGTCACTGTCACCGAGTACGTTTTTCCTCTCCCCATTTATTATCAGCTTTCGTACTAACAATCATGTCTAGGACTATGCAGCACACCCCCGTCGCTCCCTCCATGAGCTCCGCCTACTACCCCACCACCGCCCCCATGGCCCCCTCCTCCGCCCCCGTCATGGGCGGCACCGGCGTCCCCATGGTCCCCGACGCGTCCTCCGTCGGCACCGGATACGCCATGCCCACCGGCACTGCCGCTCCCACTGGCAGCATGACCGGTCCTCCTCCCTCTGAGTTCACCGGTGCCGCTTCTGGCCTCAAGGTCGGTGGTGCGCTTGCCGGTGTCGGTGCCGTTGCTGCTTTCTTCGTGTAGATTGAGTAATAGGCGCGGTGGTTTGAGATGGATGGAGAAGGGGGTGGAAGAGAGATTGCGGTTGTTGCGATACCCAAAGGGTTGCGTTCTTTGTTTAGTACTTTCTTGAATTGATGTTTGAGCCCGGTTGTGGCTTTTTATGAACATGTCTCTGCCGTTGGTGATGTTCTTGTGGTTCGTGAAAGATATCTGTAGTGACGGAGTGAAGTGTTTTCGCTAACAGTAAGGGGATCGCAATGGAGGGAACGCTTTCATGGACTTTACGTCTGGCAGATCTATTGACTGACTAGAAATCACTACTTTACCCCCTTCTCCGGAAGAGTCTTCTCAGAAGATTTCTGACAGGGTTACCGCAACCAGCGCTGTCATTGCTACTCCTCTTCGCTACTCCTCCGCCCTTCAATGGAACCACCCACTGCACATCTTTCTTTACCCTTGGCTGTGGACGATGCGAGGGCAGCGGATAGTAAGGGTAATCGCCCTCCCTAATGACCGGCAACGAACCCTGAACCTCTGGTCCTAATTCAGCCTCTTCCGTTTCCCGGGTCACTTCTGTCGCTGACCGTCCTGTCTGTTGCGTTTTTTCCACGTGCTGAATCTTCTCATCTTGTTCACGGACAACATCTTGAGCGGCATCAGTGAGCGCGATACCCCACGGTCTCGTATTCAAACTTTCTTCTTCCTTCTCTCCATATTCTTCGTCATCACCATAAAGGTCTAAGTCATCAGGCAGAATATCGCTCATCCGCGTAGTTTGTGAGCCCCAACCTCCTTCTCCAGCTGCCCATACGCCAGATATGTTCACACCACCAGATGAACTATCGGACAAATCAAGAGAGCTGATACTACCATTGTAGCAAGTGCGAGGTATCGGATACGCAGGCAGGTCTTCCGTTGACCTTGAAGTACGGAGAACGTGGTTAGCGTGGAAAAGAGTGAGTGCAGGAGATGGTGGAGATGGTGGCAGAACAGGCGAATCAGTACGGAAAGATGTTGGACTGAGGGTTATCGTCGGGCTGAGGAGGAATGCTTGGGTGCCGGGGAATACAGGGAGGGTATTACCACTCGTGTGGAAGGTTGTTGTTGTAGGGGTTGGACTAAGCAGGAATGTTTGCTTAACAACTGCATTCGTGGTAATCATCATATTGGGTTTGCTTCGTGGCATGATCCGCGGTTTTCGCGCTGGTTTGAGGAAAGGGATGCGGCGGGTGATATATGTGGTCGTGGATCTTCTCGTGGTAGGTTTCCGATAGAGAGATGCGAAGCGATAGGCGAAGAGTGCTGCGTAACAGGACAGCGAGACTTGCATTCTTCCTGAAGGCTTTCATAGTAGGCTTATCACATAAGTAAAGGGTTGAGCGTTGGAGATGCACTGGTTAGTGAACAAGGACATTGTGACTGTGTGGGAGTGGACGGAACAAAGACATCACGGCGGTGATGAAGTTTAGGATGGAGACAAAGAAGTGATGATGGTACGCTGGGCGAACAGTGGTGATTATATACTGTGGAACAGTGTAGATAAACACTTCGACTGAATAGCCATGCTATGGAGCTTTCAGGAAGACCACATACGCTTCAGACGTACATAGATAGCTAACGCAACATTGAGATACCCCCCACTCACCATCATCTCCCCTTTCTGCAGCAAGCAAGCTTACACTCCGGGTCGCAGCACCCAGGAATCGCTCCAGGACCCATTTGCCTCAACGCTGCATCGGTAGCAGCTTCATCAAGAACAAATGTTGCTCGTGCAATAGCAGCCTGTGCTCTATCAAACACCATCCGTTCTTTAGCCCATTTTTTCGCAGCAGCCGCTTTCTCGGCTTCCTCCTTCTTCTTAGCAGCCTCTTCAGCACTAAGAGGCGGCTCGTTACGACACTGTATCTTCTCTGCAAACCAGGACTTGGCTTTGCGCAGTCCATGCCGGCCCGATGCTGTGATTTCAGGTAGGATTCTGGTCTCATTCCATGTCGACAAGTGATGTGAGCTCTTTCTGAGATCTCTAGAGCTTTTCTTGAGAAGTAGACGGCTGTTTCCTGTTTTGAGCGCTTGTGCGGTAGCTTCAATATGATGGTCGCTTAGAGCGAATCGTGGTGTGTTGATTTCCCGCGGAGTAGTATGTTCTGGTCCCCACCTGTCAGGCACTTCCGTGGTATCGCTACCTGCTTTGCTTTCGGTGTCGCAATCGCTTATAGCAATTCGTTGTCTGTCATACTGTCCAAGATCGACGTAGACAGCTCCTCGCCTGTTCCGCTTTTCTGTTGTGTTGCTATCTGTGTCCGTGTTGCAATCACTCAAAACGGAGCGTGGTCTATCGCTTTGTCCAAGAGCAATTTGACCAGGTGCTGGTCTATCGGGCGACTCTGTGGTATGGATTTTTGTATCTGTGTCGCAGTCGCTTAGAACAGAGCGTGTGCTGATAGTTTGGTTGACTACGGTGTACTTGCGCTCTCGTCTCTTGGGCGCTTCGCCGATGTCAGAGTCGGTGACAGAGTCAGTTCGAGTGGAACCTTGCCTATACTCGTGTTGGTAAACCTGGCTGCGACGCATTTGTATTGATTGAACGTGTGAGCTATAGGAACTTCGATTGCTGCGATTGATTTCAGGAGCGTCATCTATCAGGGCTTCGTGTGAGAGGGTATGGGCCTCTTGTTGTACGAGAGCTGTTGGAGGGACAGACGTTGGAGCTGGCGGTAGTGTTTCCGCATTTGCGAATCTCATCGGAACTTCTGCACGGATTTCCTCCCACTGTTCTTTTGTCGAGAATGGTGGGCAGGCGACGATGTGCCTAGAAAACCTGTCTGTTGGTGCTGGCTTGGTATACCTTGGAGACGGGAAAGGCGCTGGGTGAAGATGTTCCCTATCGTACAGTTGCTCAATGCCGACTATTCCGTGACGACGAGACGACCGACCGACTGCCGCGGAAGGGATCGTTGCAGGAGATGACGATCGTGCATTTGAAATGCCAGACCCAGGAGATATAGCAGAATTCACCGTCGGCTCAGCGGCGTTCTCACTTTGGTCTGCTCGGAAAGTAGCCCGAAGATCTCCGTCACGCGATTTGTGTGGAACGTCGCAAGCTTCCATTCTCTCAATTTCATACTTGCGTTGTCTGGCACTCATCGAGCCCCAAGGATGAGATGGCATGTTAGTCGCAGGCGATATGTCTTAATCCGGTTGAGAGCAGTTCACCGGAAACTTACTCTCAAAGTGCCGAGAAAAGGCGCGGCCGATGTGTTTGGGCAACAACACTGTAAAGGTACATGTTTGACGGAGGAAGAATGGTGAAATATCGAATGCATGCTAGATGGTGGTCGAAGGAGGATTGATGAGCAATCAAGGTCGCCGCGATGAACATGGGGAAATGGAACCGTATCAAAGAATATGAGATGTATCGCCGAATGTGTAGAGAGAATAAAGCGCAAGGAAAATCCAGTAGATCGAGACCTCTCTAGGCGTCAGCGAATTGTATGAGGATGTCCTCATTTAGAGCCTCCTGCTTCTTCCTCCTTTCCTGCCTGCGACCAGATATCTTCATCTGACATGTCAGTCATGTTGTCCTCATCCGTCCCCTCCGATGAGCTGCTCGAGGAAGTAGCTGGAATAAGCCACTCTCGCAGATCAGGATCCTTCCTCAACTTTGTGTGTGTCAGGCCGCTGAGTACTAGACGGTCATTCCGACGGTAGTCATTCAAATCGTAGAGCTTTAATTCGTCTATCTTACAGTAATGCCCTGAGTCCTCGCCTCCATCGCGCTTATAATGGGCATTGAGATTGTGACAAGAGGTCACATGGCGGACGTCGCATGCTTCTTTCTTGTAAATTTCGTATTGGCGCTGGGCTTTAGCAATGCGATCCATGGTCCGCTTTTCTTCTCTCTGTTGATATTTCGGTATAGTGAAGTCAGTTCCGTTACGTCGTACCTATGCACTCGTTGTTATGTTGTTCGTGTTGATAAGATATACTGGGGAGAGCTCTAATATGTGTTACTAACACGTCCGTGGACTGTCGAAGTACCAAACTGGAAGAGACGCCCTGAAACTGTGCGGCGTAGGATTGGAAAAGGGCTGTCGCGATTTATAGAATTGCCGTTACGATCTAATATAGTAGCATGAACTTTGTCCGACCGGAGTTTGGACTGTGGATGGGTAGAATGGAAATGAGTATAGGGTTCCTCGGTTGGCCTGCGTGTGAGGTGTTGATGTCGTCCTGGCTCAGACGATTGGTCGTTGGATCTGAAGACTTTGGCGTGTGTACGCGTGTTCTTGGTATATCGGATCGGCATTTGGACTGTGAAAAAACAAGAGTGCTGTCATGCAATCGGCGATGAAAACGTTGTGTGTTGAGATGGCAATACATTGTGCAGACTAGATGAGATTAGACTATGGATATTCCCAACTGACCACAGGGGAAAGACATGTCTCAGACCGACAAACAGCCTGATTAGCTGTAATAATCTTCCATTGGTCATGTGTGGGATACTCCCGGGATGCGGTACGTAGAAGAAATCTAAACCTCGTGTAGATTGCCGTAAGTAAGGTATTAACGCCACCAGAGATGAACGCCTATGCGTGAATCCCAATTTTGGATGATCGGACGCGCCAAGTAGTGTGGTTCGCGGGCCGTCGTAGACTGTACAAGAATTACGAACTTCCTCTTCAACACTCAGCGCCGGCTTTTGAGTCCAGCCCGAGCAGCTGTTGATCGTCGCTCCGGTTTCGATTCGTCTCCGCTCTCCGATTCACCGTCGTCCAAGTCATCGCTCATAGGCTCTGACATGTCTCCGCCCTCGTCATCATCCGTCTCTTCTGCCTCATCGTCGATGAGGTCCTCGTCAGAACCTTCACTACCCTCGTCGGAGACGTCATCCATCTCCATGTTCAGGCCCATATCGTCCGACGAGCTTTCATCGTCCTCCTCCATCTCGGGGCGCGATCGCTTCGGGGTTGCAGTGGCTCCCTCAATCGACTCGTCATCAGAGACGTAATCGTCCTGTCCCTCGACGTATACCAGTGCTTCGTCCGCATCGTCGTTGGCGGCTTGGTTCCGTTTCCTGAGGTCAAGCTGAGCTTGTAGCATATCCAGACGACCCTTCAATGACATGAGCGGCATCAGCCCGCTCGAGCGTTCCTTCAAAACTTTGTTCAGTGCGGTGAGTTGCTTGACGATTTGGGGCTGGGAAGCGAGGTATCCTCCGTGGGCCTATCAGGTAAGTGTTAGTCGATGCTTTTTCCATTCGGAGGCGGGCTGCTTACGGCAAGACTCCATTGTACCCAGGCCATCAACATGCCTGCTCGACCGGGACTTCGGTGTAGCCTCTCAGCCAATCTCTGCAGTAGTGTTCCAACCAACGGCGATGGCAACCGTTCGACGGTAGCGTAGACCGACTCTACATCGACCACCTGAAGACATGAATCGAGGAGCTCCTTGTCGTTGGTGCGCAGGGCTTGAGTGAGAACGGTGCCGAGAGAGTTTGCATTCGGTGGTGCAAGTGTGCGGTTCTTTGTCGCAGTTACTGCGCGCTCCGGGTTGGGGTCGAAGGCGTCTTCGACGCTTATAATTCGCGACTCTTGGACAGGCTCAGGGCCTTCTGCGCGTAATCGGTCCCCGAATGTGAGCTCCTCCGGTTCCGCGCCATTCTCGTCATCCGCAGCAGCGTCGTTCTCAGCATTGGTCTGTGTGGGATCTTCTTGCGCGCTGTCCGAGTCGTCATCGCTCTCTTCCTCGGCGCTGCTGATCTCTATGACGTCCGCGTCCACCATGTGCGCATCGGCAGGTCCTTCCACAACAGCAGTGGCGTCGTCGACTCGGTCTGCCTGCGCATTCTTGACACCGTTTATCTTCGCTGTGGGCTTGGCTGCATTTCCATTTACTAAAGCTTTGAGACCATTTTGGCGGACTGTCGCAGGCGATTGCGCCAACTTGGGTTTTTTCGCAGGCCGGCGGTCGCGATTCTTCGGGGTTGCTACGGCGGCGGGCATTTTCGTGAACACCGGTTGTGTCGATATATCGCAGGCGGCGCGTGTCGAAGGCTTCACCGGAAGTTTGTACAAGGCTGTAATGTTGCAGCCTGAAGCAATGCGCAAGATGCGAGTGGTCGCAAAAAATTTGGGAAGAGCGAATTACCCACCTCTGCACGCACGGGCCTTGCGGACAGGGATCATGGCGTAGAGCTGTCAAGCTCGCGGCGACGCGTTCACGGCGCCCGTTGCAACAGCAGATTCATCGGCAAGGAAGCGTGATAGTCCAAGTGCATCTCAAGAATGCAACAGAACAGGTAAACAATGTCCAGACGCGGCGTTGCGGACGCGCATAGTCAAGAAGTCGGCAAGGACACGTTCCCTTCGAGGCTAGTGCACTTCAGGGGCTGCTCTGAGGCTTGGCTCGGAGATGGAAGGGCCGGGCTACTTAACCCCAATGCCTCTCCTCTCGCGTCTGTCTTCGACGTTCTTGAGTCCATTTTCCTGATCTGCCTCCAATCAATACGCGCCTGCTCCCGATCACCCAACCTTACTCGCACTCCCCCGCCACACCTCATCACCCGCCCAAGGCCCAGTATATCGCGTTTAGCATTTTTTTTCTCTGAATGTAAGCTGCCTTGGTATCCCAGTATATCGCGTCCCAAGTCTAGGCGGCTGCACCCACTTCACCCGACATAATTAATACGCGCATCCATCCCCGTCTGTCTGCATCCGCATCCGCTGCACACTAGCCCTCACCGCCCGCCGTCTGCGCTCCCAAGCCGCCGTCACCATCCGTGCACCACATCACCAACGTTTGTGTTGTTGTCGCACATCTTGAGAGGGCGCACAGCTGCACCACGCCGTTATTGCCTCTTCCTCTACGCGCTTGGCCCACCACAACAAACGCGTCGGCGCTATAAAGTCTGACTCATCACCGACTGCCGTCGCCGCCCTGCTACCTCGCCGCCGCCACCGTCTGGTACGTAGTCACGTGCGTTTCAGCCTCTGCAACATATAGTCCGCAGCTGCCCCTCCTCATCCCTCGCGTCACTGCACCGACGCTAGCCTCACTTTGCGACCCCACCTTTACCGCAAACGCGCCCATCCCTCCCTCACTGCCGTGTCCGTCATTAACACGCGTATACTTGCGCAGTCGCGTGTGCCTAAAGCGGAAGTCGCTAACGATCCAAGATTAGCAACAACATCAAACACACCATATACTCTGTCAGCCGCGCGCAAACCCGTCTTTGACTTTCATGGCCCCATGGCAGTAATGACATCACCTACTGTCGACAAATCCTCCCTGGACCTTAAGGCGAGCGCTTTTGCGCCGGCAGACGCAATGGCAGTGGATACCGAGGCAAACGGGTAAGTCGCTCTTCCCTTCACCTTCATTCGCCCCTCCTCTCTCACCTCGCGCAACCTACTAATACCTAGTAGTGTTCACGATGTACTCTTCGACGAACCCGACTCCAAGACCACCACCATCGACGATACAACCGCGCAATCAAAACCCACTACCAACGGAAATCACGTAGACATGGACGAGTCAGCGCCTGCAGTTGAGCCCACTACCAACGTTTCCGCCGGAATCGATGGTGTCGCACAATATCTACCTGAGAACCAGGACAATAATTCGCTGTTCGGCGACTCGGATGTTGGTGCCACGGTAGCGAACGCTGTCGAGGCGCCGACTTCAGACGTACGCGATGAGCCAGCGACTGCAGAGGAGCTCTCTTCAGCCACCCAGGCAACAGGCGCTAGCACTCAGGAAGTGCCCGAAACCCAGTTAGCCGACAAAGACGAAGGCCCGACCGAAGATAGTATGGACACCACCGCTGATGCGCCTGAAGAGTCGAAACCCTCAGAGTCCTCCGGAGCGCCTACCAAGCCAATGCACGACCTCACGATCAAGACCGATGGCGATGCGGCCACTGCACCCCAATCCGTTGCCGCTCAATCACCGGCGATCGTAGACCGGGAAATGGAGGATGCCCCGTCCTCTGGCAAGGTGCGCCCCCGCGAGGATGACGATGACGACATTCCCGACGCGAAGCGCACCAAGACTGAAGAGGAGGCCCAAGCCGACTTCAAGCTGCCGGAGTTGCCGAATCAGGCAGAACAGGCCAGCGTAAATGGAGGTACCCCGGGCCCGACATCCGACTCTGCGCAAGAAGCATCTGGCGTCCACAAGGCTGTTGATTGGGAAGAGTGGCCCACCACTCCGATGACGGATGCACAGAACAGGTTTCTTCTTGAGCGGATAAGGAACACAAAGAAGATCAAGGTTTCATTAGCGTTCAAGGATCCTGTTGACCCTGTAGCCCTCAATATCCCGACTTATCCCGACATTGTCAAGAACCCAATGGACTTGACGACTATGGAGCACAAGCTGAAGGACAAAAAGTACACTTACGTAAGGGATTTCATGGCAGATCTCGATCAGATGATCACGAACAGCGAGCTTTTCAACAACAAGGAGCATCCTGTAACGCAAGCAGGTTACAACCTTCGCGCCTACTTCTTGAAAGGCATGGGTAAGATGCCCCGAGGCGCTGCTGCGGAAGAGCCTCCAAAGCCAGCAAAGGCCAAGAAGCCATCAGTGAGCACTTCGCAAAAGGCTCGACGTGAGTCTCGCGTTGCGCCGCCCAACGTCAAGTCTCCTGCTGTCGCTACTCCGGCTGCGACTTCGCCTCAGGCTGCCTGGCCTCTTCAGCAGGACGGTACTCCACTGATTCGACGTGATTCGTCCACCACTGACGGTAGGCCAAAGCGAGAGATTCACAGG